CACACGAGGAGATGAATTGTTGAATAAAGTCGTTATTTTAGTTTTCTTCGCGTACAAAACGTATTCTCGTCGCTTCATAACGTTATGGTTGAACCACTGATGGCAGATGGACTATTTTGACGATGTCTTTCATACTTTTCTGGGCCTTGACAGTGTTATTTACTTGGCAGTCAAGGGGACAGTCACAAGCCTCCCGGTTTTCATCCAAAATATCTTAAATTGTGTTCCGAAGACGAACGAAGCTTTTACGGGTTTGGAACGACATGGGGGTAAGTGATTAATGACAAAATTTTCATTTTGGGGTGGAGTAACCCTTTAATAGTATAAATTTGAAATGTTTTATAAAGACCTGGACATAGTAAGGTTGCGGTCAATCCTGTCTTTTAGGTCTTCATTTTGCTGCTGTAACACCTGAATACGCTCCTCCAACAGAACATTCTTTTGGGCCTGTGTAAAAACATGACAAATACACTAAATCACTGAAAAACATTTATCATTTCAAATGAGCACTTTAGCTTTATTACTCATAATATACATTAAAATAACTTGGAGAATACAGTCATATCAGAGGCCAAAAAGTGTTTTATTCTGCAGGGGAGTTGCATAGCGGGGGCCAAAAACGTATCTTGGTAACTTTCTATTGTTACTGGACACCTTTTATGGTTGACAAATACATCTGCATATAGGACATTTTTAATTTCTAATGGCAGAAGTAACTGAAAAATTTTGGTTTTGCTTGATAACACATCCACACTGAGAGGTGCGAGTATAAGTTTAAGAAGTATAAAGGCCCCGATATACTTCAAGATAAATTGAAGCTGAACTGGTGTGATGTCATTTCGAACAAAATTAGGCCAAACAAAGCTTGAAACAGTTTCTGGAAAAGTTTGCACATGATGGTAAACACCTTCGAACTACCATTGGTTCATTGCAATTAGATGGCTCTGGGGTTTTCTGCCTTTTTGAGTACACCTTTAAAAACCTCATGAAATCTGTTCGTGACAAATTCCCTTTTGAAAACAGTAAGTTTGAGTGAGACATATGGAAACAGTGGTCTTTTTTTTTTTTTTTGTTAAATAGGCTTTAGTTATGCCATGAACTATACTCGGCTACATGTTGTTTGGCAGGGGGAGGGACATTGTCATTCTACAGAGCATTTGACTGGTCAAAAATTTTTGTATGGCAACTTTAGTCATCAAAAATGTGTCCCACACACACATTTTAAATGGGTATATCGGATAAAAAGTGAAGTGTCTTTATTATTTAAAGCTATCTTTAACATTGTTCTGTAGTGTCTGTTAATGTAATTTACCATTTTTTCCAGCTCTGAAATTTTGAGCTCCTGTTGATGAATCTGCTGGTTCTTCATCTCCAGAACTTCTTTAAGGCTCTTTAGGTCTTCCTCAATATGCTGATAAGGAGCAAGGGCATCCTATACACACAAACAGAAAACAGATGCAAACTACTAAATTTCTACATCCCAGAACTAACCATACCAGATTTTTTAAATATTTGATTATTATTACATTATAAAATATAAATTAAAGGATTAGTTCACTTCCAGAATAGAACTTTCCTAATTATTTACTCACCCCATGTCATGGAAGATGTTCATGTCTTTCTTTCTTTATTCAGTCGAAAAGAAACGTCTCAGGTTACTTATGTAACCATGGTTCCCTGAGTAGGGAACGAGACACTGCGTCCTCTAGGTTTCTTGCCATGCTGCGGACGCAAGCTTCAGACGAAGAAGTGAATGATGTGTGCTCCCGGCGCCTATTTATACTATAGTCGCACCGGTAGTGACGTCATGGCTGTCGCCGGCCAACAAGTTGGTGTTTTTTCAATGTATGCTTCAGACACGGGTCACGACGAGGCGTTCCCCATAGCGACCCCTAGAGGACGCAGTTCGAAGTTCCCATGAAAGGGAACGTCTCAGGTTACTTATGTAACCATGGTTCCCTGAGTAGGGAACGAGACACTGCGTCCTCTAGGTTTCTTGCCATGCTGCGGACGCAAGCTTCAGACGAAGAAGTGAATGATGTGTGCTCCCGGCGCCTATTTATACTATAGTCGCACCGGTAGTGACGTCATGGCTGTCGCCGGCCAACAAGTTGGTGTTTTTTCAATGTATGCTTCAGACACGGGTCACGACGAGGCGTTCCCCATAGCGACCCCTAGAGGACGCAGTTCGAAGTTCCCATGAAAGGGAACGTCTCAGGTTACTTATGTAACCATGGTTCCCTGAGTAGGGAACGAGACACTGCGTCCTCTAGGTTTCTTGCCATGCTGCGGACGCAAGCTTCAGACGAAGAAGTGAATGATGTGTGCTCCCGGCGCCTATTTATACTATAGTCGCACCGGTAGTGACGTCATGGCTGTCGCCGGCCAACAAGTTGGTGTTTTTTCAATGTATGCTTCAGACACGGGTCACGACGAGGCGTTCCCCATAGCGACCCCTAGAGGACGCAGTTCGAAGTTCCCATGAAAGGGAACGTCTCAGGTTACTTATGTAACCATGGTTCCCTGAGTAGGGAACGAGACACTGCGTCCTCTAGGTTTCTTGCCATGCTGCGGACGCAAGCTTCAGACGAAGAAGTGAATGATGTGTGCTCCCGGCGCCTATTTATACTATAGTCGCACCGGTAGTGACGTCATGGCTGTCGCCGGCCAACAAGTTGGTGTTTTTTCAATGTATGCTTCAGACACGGGTCACGACGAGGCGTTCCCCATAGCGACCCCTAGAGGACGCAGTTCGAAGTTCCCATGAAAGGGAACGTCTCAGGTTACTTATGTAACCATGGTTCCCTGAGTAGGGAACGAGACACTGCGTCCTCTAGGTTTCTTGCCATGCTGCGGACGCAAGCTTCAGACGAAGAAGTGAATGATGTGTGCTCCCGGCGCCTATTTATACTATAGTCGCACCGGTAGTGACGTCATGGCTGTCGCCGGCCAACAAGTTGGTGTTTTTTCAATGTATGCTTCAGACACGGGTCACGACGAGGCGTTCCCCATAGCGACCCCTAGAGGACGCAGTTCGAAGTTCCCATGAAAGGGAACGTCTCAGGTTACTTATGTAACCATGGTTCCCTGAGTAGGGAACGAGACACTGCGTCCTCTAGGTTTCTTGCCATGCTGCGGACGCAAGCTTCAGACGAAGAAGTGAATGATGTGTGCTCCCGGCGCCTATTTATACTATAGTCGCACCGGTAGTGACGTCATGGCTGTCGCCGGCCAACAAGTTGGTGTTTTTTCAATGTATGCTTCAGACACGGGTCACGACGAGGCGTTCCCCATAGCGACCCCTAGAGGACGCAGTTCGAAGTTCCCATGAAAGGGAACGTCTCAGGTTACTTATGTAACCATGGTTCCCTGAGTAGGGAACGAGACACTGCGTCCTCTAGGTTTCTTGCCATGCTGCGGACGCAAGCTTCAGACGAAGAAGTGAATGATGTGTGCTCCCGGCGCCTATTTATACTATAGTCGCACCGGTAGTGACGTCATGGCTGTCGCCGGCCAACAAGTTGGTGTTTTTTCAATGTATGCTTCAGACACGGGTCACGACGAGGCGTTCCCCATAGCGACCCCTAGAGGACGCAGTTCGAAGTTCCCATGAAAGGGAACGTCTCAGGTTACTTATGTAACCATGGTTCCCTGAGTAGGGAACGAGACACTGCGTCCTCTAGGTTTCTTGCCATGCTGCGGACGCAAGCTTCAGACGAAGAAGTGAATGATGTGTGCTCCCGGCGCCTATTTATACTATAGTCGCACCGGTAGTGACGTCATGGCTGTCGCCGGCCAACAAGTTGGTGTTTTTTCAATGTATGCTTCAGACACGGGTCACGACGAGGCGTTCCCCATAGCGACCCCTAGAGGACGCAGTTCGAAGTTCCCATGAAAGGGAACGTCTCAGGTTACTTATGTAACCATGGTTCCCTGAGTAGGGAACGAGACACTGCGTCCTCTAGGTTTCTTGCCATGCTGCGGACGCAAGCTTCAGACGAAGAAGTGAATGATGTGTGCTCCCGGCGCCTATTTATACTATAGTCGCACCGGTAGTGACGTCATGGCTGTCGCCGGCCAACAAGTTGGTGTTTTTTCAATGTATGCTTCAGACACGGGTCACGACGAGGCGTTCCCCATAGCGACCCCTAGAGGACGCAGTTCGAAGTTCCCATGAAAGGGAACGTCTCAGGTTACTTATGTAACCATGGTTCCCTGAGTAGGGAACGAGACACTGCGTCCTCTAGGTTTCTTGCCATGCTGCGGACGCAAGCTTCAGACGAAGAAGTGAATGATGTGTGCTCCCGGCGCCTATTTATACTATAGTCGCACCGGTAGTGACGTCATGGCTGTCGCCGGCCAACAAGTTGGTGTTTTTTCAATGTATGCTTCAGACACGGGTCACGACGAGGCGTTCCCCATAGCGACCCCTAGAGGACGCAGTTCGAAGTTCCCATGAAAGGGAACGTCTCAGGTTACTTATGTAACCATGGTTCCCTGAGTAGGGAACGAGACACTGCGTCCTCTAGGTTTCTTGCCATGCTGCGGACGCAAGCTTCAGACGAAGAAGTGAATGATGTGTGCTCCCGGCGCCTATTTATACTATAGTCGCACCGGTAGTGACGTCATGGCTGTCGCCGGCCAACAAGTTGGTGTTTTTTCAATGTATGCTTCAGACACGGGTCACGACGAGGCGTTCCCCATAGCGACCCCTAGAGGACGCAGTTCGAAGTTCCCATGAAAGGGAACGTCTCAGGTTACTTATGTAACCATGGTTCCCTGAGTAGGGAACGAGACACTGCGTCCTCTAGGTTTCTTGCCATGCTGCGGACGCAAGCTTCAGACGAAGAAGTGAATGATGTGTGCTCCCGGCGCCTATTTATACTATAGTCGCACCGGTAGTGACGTCATGGCTGTCGCCGGCCAACAAGTTGGTGTTTTTTCAATGTATGCTTCAGACACGGGTCACGACGAGGCGTTCCCCATAGCGACCCCTAGAGGACGCAGTTCGAAGTTCCCATGAAAGGGAACGTCTCAGGTTACTTATGTAACCATGGTTCCCTGAGTAGGGAACGAGACACTGCGTCCTCTAGGTTTCTTGCCATGCTGCGGACGCAAGCTTCAGACGAAGAAGTGAATGATGTGTGCTCCCGGCGCCTATTTATACTATAGTCGCACCGGTAGTGACGTCATGGCTGTCGCCGGCCAACAAGTTGGTGTTTTTTCAATGTATGCTTCAGACACGGGTCACGACGAGGCGTTCCCCATAGCGACCCCTAGAGGACGCAGTTCGAAGTTCCCATGAAAGGGAACGTCTCAGGTTACTTATGTAACCATGGTTCCCTGAGTAGGGAACGAGACACTGCGTCCTCTAGGTTTCTTGCCATGCTGCGGACGCAAGCTTCAGACGAAGAAGTGAATGATGTGTGCTCCCGGCGCCTATTTATACTATAGTCGCACCGGTAGTGACGTCATGGCTGTCGCCGGCCAACAAGTTGGTGTTTTTTCAATGTATGCTTCAGACACGGGTCACGACGAGGCGTTCCCCATAGCGACCCCTAGAGGACGCAGTTCGAAGTTCCCATGAAAGGGAACGTCTCAGGTTACTTATGTAACCATGGTTCCCTGAGTAGGGAACGAGACACTGCGTCCTCTAGGTTTCTTGCCATGCTGCGGACGCAAGCTTCAGACGAAGAAGTGAATGATGTGTGCTCCCGGCGCCTATTTATACTATAGTCGCACCGGTAGTGACGTCATGGCTGTCGCCGGCCAACAAGTTGGTGTTTTTTCAATGTATGCTTCAGACACGGGTCACGACGAGGCGTTCCCCATAGCGACCCCTAGAGGACGCAGTTCGAAGTTCCCATGAAAGGGAATTAAGGTTTTTGAGGAAAACATTAGAGGATTTTTCTCCATATAGTGGACTTCAATGGTGGCCAATGGGTTGAAGGTCCAAATTGCCGTTTCAATGCAGCTTCAAAGGGCTCTACGCGATCCCAGCCAAGGAATTAAGGGTCTTATCTAGCCAAACGATCGGCCATTTTCTTAAAAAAAATTAAATTTAGATACTTTTAACCACAAATGCTTGTCTTGCACTAGCACGACCTCGCGAATTACATAGTCACGTTGGAAAGGTCACGTGTGACGTAAGCAGAAGTACTGACCCAGTGTTTAAAAAAGAGAACTTGCAAAGAAAGTCAAACGCCCTTTACAAAAAAAGGTAAAAAAACGATGTTGGACGAATTTGAAGATGGAGGAGAAAATGAGATTTTTTCGCCCTACCCTACCTTTTTGAACCGAAGTACACAGGCAAAGAACTTACCACTCGTGACCTTTCAAACTTGATTACTTAATGCATAAAGTTCCACATGCGCATTGCACAGCTATAGTGCAAGTTGAGCATTTGTGGTTGAAAAGTATATACATTTTTATTTATTTTTAGAAAATGACTGATTGTTTTGTTAGATAAGACCCTTATTCAGCCAAGGAATTAAGGGTCTTATCTAGCCAAACGATCGGCCATTTTCTTAAAAAAAATTAAATTTAGATACTTTTAACCACAAATGCTTGTCTTGCACTAGCATGACCTCGCGAATTACGTAGTCACGTTGGAAAGGTCACGTGTGACGTAAGCAGAAGTACTGACCCAGTGTTTAAAAAAGAGAACTTGCAAAGAAAGTCAAACGCCCTTTACAAAAAAAGGTAAAAAAACGATGTTGGACGAATTTGAAGATGGAGGAGAAAATGAGATTTTTTCGCCCTACCCTACCTTTTTGAACCGAAGTACACAGGCAAAGAACTTACCACTCGTGACCTTTCAAACTTGATTACTTAATGCATAAAGTCCCACATGCGCATTGCACAGCTATAGTGAAAGTTGAGCATTTGTGGTTGAAAAGTATATACATTTTTATTTATTTTTAGAAAATGACCGATTGTTTTGTTAGATAAGACCCTTATTCCTCGACTGGGATCGTGTAGAGCCCTCTGAAGCTGCAATTTGGTCCTTCAACCCGTTGACCACCTTTGAAGTCCACTAAATGAAGAAAAATCCTGGAATGTTTTCCTCAAAAAACTTAATTTCTTTGCGACTGAAGAAAGAAAGACATGAACATCTTGGATGACACGGGCGTGAGTAAATTATCAAGAGTTAGTTATCTGGAAGTGAACGAGTCCTTTAACTACAAAGCAGTTAAAAAAAAAAAAGTGTCCAGCATGTTTCATTACTGTTTAAAAAGCATCCCAGGATGTCCAGAATTTGCAGAGCTATAATCTAGACAAAAAATGGTGACCCAAAAATGAAAATTCTCTGGTCATTCGTTTGCCCTCGTTCCAGATATGTATGAATATTCTTTATTTTCTGGAACACAGATGACAAATTTTGAAAAATCTGGGGATGAACTCTTGTTTTAATACCACTGGCCACACACACACACAAAAAAGAATATGAAGAACAGTACCACTAACTGCTCATCTGTGCTTCTGCGCAGTGCTTCTTCAAACCGCTTGGCCCGGTCTCGCAGAGCGCGGTTCTGAAATGTCAAGGTGTCCACCTGATCCTAAACACAGCACAGAAACACATGCTATTATAAAGAAAAGGGTAAACACAATGTACAATGAACGTTGGCATTAAAAGCAGGAACATACAGTACCTGCAGTGAGAGTCTGAGCTTCTCAAATTCCTCTTCCATTGACTTCTTTTGCTGCTCATGTGCCATCTTCAGGTCTAAAAACAAACAACCAGTTCATGTTAGTAACACACTGATGAAAAATAATTAACAGACCGTTTTGATTCAGTTGTCTGTAGTAATGTTGTTAAGCAGGGACTTCAACCAGGAGCTCTCATAGTGGGCCAAACCAATAGCTTCTAGGCTATGATGCCCTAATAATGCAGTCCAAGTAGGCCGCTAACTAGGTTTTTAGACACAGTTGCTTGGATTTCTGGGAGTGCAATGGATGTGTCTGTCAGCAGGACTCACTCTTGATGGTTCTGGTGTGTTCTTCCTGTAAAGTGGCCAACGTGGCACCATGAGTCGCTTCTATTTCCATCATTGCTCTCTCATGGTTTTCACTCATTTCCTCAATCTAAAACAGAAAACAAAAATGGTTGTCCGTTTTAACAGGCGCACTGGAATACTGGATTCTGATTGGTCAATTGAAAGATTTTACAATGTATATCTGAATGTTGTCAATAGAAACATACAGCGCCATGCTGCTTTCATTTTGTCTTTCTCTGTTGTCTTTCTCTTTTTCATACCAACACAATTTTGATTAGCTCTATGTGCCATTTTGAGACTTGTTGACAATATGAACTTTTAGCTGAAAACATTTTTTATTACTAAGTTATGAATCTCTGCCCACACAGAGGTCACTGGTGAACCGAAACACTTGCTATTGGCTGGAATTGCAAATTTGTTTTTTTTGTTCAAGGAACTTAAATCTGTGGAATTTGCATTCCATTTGACACCGGAAATTGTTCAGGCAAAATTATACATTTCTTAGATTCCCATTTCGCTAAAATTTCGCTTGCAAAATTTCATTGTGCAATGGCACCAAAATGCTTTTTGCATACACTAGAGTAGGTGTACAGTGCACATGAAGATAATTTAATAAAGGCTGTAATTCGTTTCAAAACTGAAGTATATTTTGGGCTTAAGGGAAGATGATTACTGCATCATCAGACTACATAGTCATGTAACTACCTTTCCGTGCTTTCTTAACCCTCATGAGCCTTCACACCCTGCACTCCTTTATGTACAATGCTAAAATAAAAGCCTCTTCAAAGTGTGTCAATGATAATCTCAGTCTTTACACCCTGTTACTTCCTCATCTTACCTGTTCCTGGTGCTGGGAATGCAGCTGCTCCAGGTAGCTGTTCTGCTGTTGCTGGAGTCGCTGTGTCTCAGAGGTGTGCTCCTCTACCAGTCTCTCCTGTAGGGCCTTGAGCTCCTGCTGTTGCTCCTCTTGTAGTCCTTTCAGCTCCCGCTCAAAACTCTGCTCCAGCTGGGCCTTCTCACCCTGCAGACGCTCCCACCGCTGAACGCTGTCCACTAGAGAGACAGAAAATAGTTTGTTATGGTCATGCTTAACCTTTAGAAAATGTTTATGTTGATGATATATGTTGAATGTTGATATATTTGCAACCCTGTTACTTTCAACCTTGGTACCTATTCTGCTGAACAAATTAAATAATATATGAGGTGTTATTTTATATTCAAATATAAAATAATCCAAACAGATTAAAAGCATAGAGAATAGAAGGGGGAATCATGCTGTAACATGGTTGCATGCAAAATAACACAGACAGATACATTGTTTATGGTCATTAAAGTTAGTACAAATTAAATTTTTTTACTGTATTCAACTAAATATCAATCAAAATTATGATGTATTATTTTATATGAGATATTTAATGCATATTTGAAAATCATGGGACATCATGTATATTTTAGGTGAAAATCATGAAGTGTTGCTTTACGTCTGCATGATGTGAGATGAGTCACATGCCAAATTAAATATGAGGGAGATGGAAAGAGAAAAATGCAGTTTACAAATATGTAATCGGAGAAGGTCTGTATAGTTTCTTTCTTATTTTATGGTTGAAGTCATCCTAACATTTGTGAGTATGCTGCAGCACATGTGTCAGCATGAGATCACTGTGAAGTACAATGTTTTTTTGTTTTGTTTTTTATCTCTGAGCCAGAAGAGACTTACCCACTTCATCCCTGATTCTGGCTAACTGCAGGGACAACTCCCTCTCCTTCACAGCAGCATTCTCACTCTGCAAAACACACACACAAGCTCACATGAGTGTAAGGGACAAATATGCAGAGAAATGGATTTAAAAATCGTAAAATGTGCTCAAAGCATTGTTAAATTATTTTTTAATAAATTAACATGAGGGATGAATCTGCAGAAATCTGCACAACTTTGTGCATGCCTGTTTATGGATAAAATTAACAACAATTTAACATACCAACCAAAATACCACTTTAAATAAGATCCCTGTATACCAGTGTCAAGCAGTGACTTCTTTGCTATCTAATTTATTAATTTATCAGAGTTGACAAATAAGAAACACCATGGCAGGTGTCAATTTAAACGTAGGAGGGCTGTTGCTAGGAACAGCCATTAGGTGGTAGTGCTTTTCTAAGAGACATACACATGCTTAGATAAACATATGTATACACGTCACAAATGCAGGATTTGACAAGCATGGGGGAAACAAATGGAACAATATATAATGTGATTTTCAGTTATCTGTAAACATTTTGCAGACTGAGCACTGAGAAAACATCTCGTGGACAGACTTTCTTGTGCATGAAATCAGGCACCAAAGCTGTTGTGGATCCACTCCCCCGAATCCATCCTTAACTGGCAAAGATATGCAGAAAATTACCGTCGTTTGGCAAATAACAATTTACAGACAGTTACTTTTACATATTTCCCACATTTTATTATGTAACCCTTATGTTACACTTCAAATGACAGTGGAATTTTATAGTAATCATAGTATTTAGCTAGTCCCCAAACTCCTTCCCTCAAATGGCTTGGGTGTGCAGAGCATTCACAGCTTAAGAGGACTACACACCTCTGCTGTATACCTGCAGCACACATAATTAAATACAAAACAGCAAGTTCCTCTAGCCTTAAAATAAACCAGCATGCTCCAGATAACCATGCCACAGAGCTTAATCTGCACTAATTATACTAGGAGTTGCTGTATCTGTTAATAACACACATTTACTCCATGATTGATGATGCCACAATACAATGAGATGCTAATGATCCATACTTGTTTATAAGAATCAGTGTCAGCGAATGATACAGCATGAGTCAGCATTTTAACATAGCAGTCCTGAATCTTACAGTCATTCTGTTCCAAATGCCAGCTGAGATCCCACCGCATCTGCTGTTTTAAAACACCTCTATGGACAGTGCCTGCCATTGTGAAAAGTATTATGGTAGTACCATAGTAGTTCCATGGTACTGAAATCCATGCACCATTGTATTAACAACGTACTTCCCGGGAATACCATGCCACCAACATGGTACAAGTCCAAAATGGTAGCATCGTACTTAAAAAAAAAAAATCTGTATGTCAGGCTATTAAAGTTGACAAACTCTTATTAAAAATAGTTTCTGCACCAAATGGAACTGCTAAAATAATATTTTTAATATTTTTAAATAAAGTTGATTAAATAAGTTAACAAAAAAGACACACAATTTGTAATGTATCGTGCCTTAAATAGATGCTGTTAGCCTTTTGAATTTATAACCCTCTCATACAGTATGTAAACTAACAGCAGGGTCAAGACCCTACCCCACGAATGCCCTGACCTGTCATCATTGTGTCCCTTCTTCGGATCTCACCCAATCAGGTTTTTCTCTGGCACACAACATGTCACGCAGATCCCTGGAGAGTCTTTCCATGAATACAAATCTGACTGCCTTGTCTTCACCGTGGTTACCTCACCTACTTTCGTTTCCTGCTGTGAAAGGTCTAGAATAGTGAGAGCAAGGCGGTCTCAAGGACTCAGTCCCCACCTATAAAACAAAAGATAAATCTGCAGGGCGTAACACTGTTACACCCCAACACACCTACAACACTGAACATGCTTAAAACATATATGGACTTTCTTATAAGTGTTTTGTACTAGGCATTGTGATTACTACTGCTCATCTTGAGGATTAGTGAATAAAAAACAATAACCCTAAATTACATTTTGGTTCTGTAACACCGTCTGTGCTACAGACATTACATTACTTCAAATCATATGGCTTGTTGAGGTAATCCCTACATTTACACTAAATGAACCAGCCTTGGCCCAGTAGGTATAGCAATCACCCTAGAGACTGCATAGCAACATGCTAAATTCCACTAACAACAAACAAGCACTCACAACACCTTAGGAACCACATGGAAAAATCCTGGCAACCACCATGAACAGCTCAGTGACTACACAGTAACCTGCAACCAACCACGTGCAATACCTTAGCAACCACATAGCAACATCCTAACAACCACCCAGAACACTTTAGCATAGTAACTTGCCAACAACAACAACCCACAACACCTTAGAAACCACGTAGCAACACTCTAACGACCACCAGAGCACTTTAGTTTAGTAACCTGCAAAAAACCTATAAGACCTTAGAAACCACATAGCAACACCCTATCAACCACACAAAACACTTTAGCATAGTAACCTGCAAAAAAAAAACACCCACAAGACCTTAGAAACCACATAGCAACACCCTAACAACCACCGAGAACACTTTAGCATAGTAACCCGCAAACACCCCCCCCCACACAAAAACAACCCACAACACCTTAGAAACCACATAGCAACACCCTAACAACCACCCAGAACACTTTAGCATAGTAACCCACAAAAAAACAACCCACAACATCTTAGAAACTACATAGCATCACCCTAACAACCACCCAGAACACCTTAGTTTAGTAACCTGCAAAAAACCTATAAGACCTTAGAAACCACATAGCAACACCCAAACAACCACCCAGAACACTTTAGTTCAGTAACCTGCAAAAAACAACCCACAACACCTTCGAAACCACATAGCAACACCCTAACAACCACCCAGAACACGTTAGCATAGTAACCCGCAAAATACAACCATCAACATCTTAGAAACCACATAGCAACATCCTAACAACCACCCAGAACACTTTAGTTTAGTAACCTGCAAAAAAAACACCCACAACACCTTAGAAACCACATAGCAACATCCTAACAACCACCCAGAACGCTTTAGCGTAGTAACTTGCCAACAACAACCCACAACACTTTAGAAACCACATAGCAACACTCTAACGACCACCAGAGCACTTTAGTTTAGTAATCTGCAAAAAAAAACACCCACAACACCTTAGAAACCACATAGCAACATCCTAACAACCACCCAGAACACTTTAGCGTAGTAACTAGCAAACAACAACCCATAAGTAACACCTTAGAAACCACAGAATCCCACTCTAACATTGTCATGACAAGTTTTGCAAGGGCAACATAACACTTTCTTCAGAAAATGTTCATATCCAATTAGCAATGTTTATATTAACACTGTCTATCAAATAGAATAATATGTTTTTATTTAATAGGTCAATAAAAACCAAAAGTGCAATAAAATATAATGATATCAGACATCAAGTGTCAGCAGTCAGGGTGGGGTGTTTCCGTCACTAAGAGCACATGTTTGTTCTCACTGACAGCACACACATACACACACTACCATCATCACAAACTATATAAAAGATGACAGTAGAATGAAATAAACAAGGTATTATGCAAAAAGCATCACTGATTCTATTTTAGCAAACAAGTCACAGAGCAAGAAAGCAGCATCGCACACACTATTCTTGCTATTGTTTTACCGTAGTATCCAAACAGCATGTAGGATGGAGACACAGAGAGGGATTACAGCAACACTGGCTCATGCTACGGCAGAATGTAGCTTCATAAAAACCTGTCGGGGGAATACCATACGCATGAGAGAGAGAAATGAGGAGAGAGAGGGAGTGGAGGAAAGACGGACAGGCAGAGCCAGGGAGAATGCGAGAGAAAAAGACAAAAATCGCCCAACAACCAGCCTTACCTCATCCTGTGTTTAGTGTCATAGCCTGACTACTGCAACAATGAGTACCATGAGTCTGCGATTCCACACATGTTCTTCAGACAACCCCCAAGCTTCTCGCCCTCTCTCTCTCACAAACACACACACTCAAGGATGTTGGGAGGAGGAGGGGTGAGATGATGGAGAGGAACAGGAGGATGGGATCAATAAAGAACAAAATAACACGTGTGCATTGTCTGATACTAAAGTCTACTGGGAACGAACACACATTTTTATCCAATCAGATGAAAGAAAGCATTCCAGATGACATATTATAAAGAATTTGTTATATAGTACAGTGCCAACACTTAACCTATGATAATCTTGACATTTGCGCTTCTACACCATAAAGTATGCTCTAAAAACAGTTCTATGCAAAAAAGAAAATTAAAATTCAGTAATGTTAAGCTTTATAATGATGCAACAGACCAAAAAAGAAACAAAAAACTGACAACCAAAAGAAACACTGAAAGGAACAATTCACATAGCAATAATACAGTATAGCAATGCCTGTGAAACCATTCAGTATATCTTATGATGCCTTTACATGCTATCGGAAATTTCCAACTTCCCACCTCTGAAGTTGTAATTATGAGTTTGTATAAAGTGTTTTGTTGTCAGAGAGAACAGGAATCATGGAGGACGGCTCATTCATGAGTTCATTCTTGCCTATTTCTCAGAGAAATCTTATTAAAGTAAAAAAATATTTAGTCAGTGTCCAACGGGTTTTGATCACAACATGTTTTTAGCTCATTGGTAACCATATAAACAATCACTGCGCTATAGATATTCATCTTGCTGACGATTCTGAAATTTCAATCAAATAAATGCTATTTTCGCTGTGTTCAGTGCATAAACTAAGCATCAAATGGTTATTTATATATGAAAATATACATAACAGTAATGGCAGGAGAAAGCAATGTAGATGTTGCGGGAAAAAATATTAAAACTTATCAATACTCCAACTGTATTTCTCCCCTCCACCATGTTTAAAGTTTATGGCCCACGCAACTCAGAAACCTGGATATCATAAAGAGTTTCCCGGTTGTAAAATACGACTTGAGAGGTTGTTCATGACCAGGAAACTCGTATTTATGATCATTTCGATGCTATCGAAATGCAGCATTATTATTTGCATGGCAATTTAACAATAGCGGACAGTGACCAGTGGCTGTCAAGATCCAAAAAGGTCATAAATACACCATAGCAGTTTGTAAAACTTGTGCACAACCACTTAAAACACCTTAGCAACTACATAAAGCCCAAGCAACCATCCAGAACACCCTTTACTACAAAGCATCCTGCAAACAATCACTCATGACAGCACAGCAACAACATAATACCCTCGAATAATGCCCATCCAGAAAACCCTAGCAACCGCACAGCGACATGCAAATAAACAGTCACAACACCTTAGCAATGCCAAAGCATCCACCCAAAACACCCTAGTGACTGCATAGCAACATGCTAACCACCACTCTAGCACTTTAGCAACCACAAAGCAGTAACACCCTAACAACCACCCACAACACCCCAGCAACTGCACAGCAACATGATGTTTTTTTTTTTTTTTTTTAGTAGAGGCAATGCATTGACATCACTTTCCCGCCAGGACACACCCCCTAAGGTGGATTCAGTGGTGAAACATCCTGCGAAACGGGAGTAAAATGATTATCTGCTTAAATTAAATGCAGTTGGACTTTAACAGTGATCCTTACACCTTACTAAAGAACCAGTGGCCCATCTATCTATCTATCTATCTATCTATCTAATCTCTAGATTGACTTTGATGCAGCCTAGAATTAAACTGCTGGTTTCGTCTGGCTAGAGGAGAATGGAACACTATTTCTACATACTATTTCCCTGTTTAATACTGTAAAGCTGCTTTGACACATTCTGCATTGTAAAAAGTGCTATATAAATAATGGTGACTTGACATGACTTGACTCTATCAATATGCTTTGCCTTTGTACAAAAAACTGGGGTTTTCTAACATTATCTTACCATTCCCCTTTGTAGAACACAAGGCTCCTCATTATGCATGGTTTAAAATAAATGCAAACTTTACAGCTATGCAGAATATACAGTTGAAGTCAAAAGTTTACATGCACCTTGCAGAATCTACAAAATGTTATTTGACCAAAATAAGAGGGATCATACAAAATGCATGTTATTGTTTATTTAGTATTGACCTGAATACGATATTTCACATAAAAGATGTTTACATATTGTCCACAAGAGAAAATAATAGTTGAATTTATAAAAATGTCCCCGTTCAAAAGTTTACATACACTTGATTCTTAATACTGTGTTGTTACCTGAATGAGCCACTGTGTTTTTTTCATGAGTCCCTTGTTTGTCCTGAACAGTTAAACTGCCCACTGTTCTTCAGAAAAATCCTTCAGGTCCAACAAATTCTTTGGTTCTTTGGTTTTTCAGCATTTTGTATTTGAACCCTTTCCAACAATGACTGTATGATTTTGAGATCCATCTTTTCACACTGAGGACAACTGAGGGACTCATATGCAACTATTACAGAAGGTTCAAATGCTCACTGATGCTCCAGAAGGAAAAACCATGCATTAACTATTAAGTTACCAGCACTCCAGCATTTACAGCTTTGTCAGTGTGTTACCTTCTGGCAGAAGTGTTGTGTGGATATGGTGAACACATCCAAGCATCGTGAAGACTTCCTGAGCTCGTCCTGCAGGGTGATCAGCTGCCAAGCCTGATCTTCACATCTCTCTTTCAGTCTCTGTACCATCAACCGGTCCCGCTCTGCATCCACGCCCTCTGCACGCCCACCCAGACGGGCCACACATGACTTCTGACGGACTGCGGGATGAACAAAAGATATGAAAAAAGTGCATAAAGAAAATGAAGAGTGTTAGTATGAGAATAAGATTATTATTACAAAATTAGTGAATTTAGAATTTTGAGTGCGACAGGCTTTGCAAGATTCTCTCAGTTTATTTTTAAACTATAAGTATGCTTGAAATATGACTGCAATTCATGTAATTTCATACATGTGTCATTTAAGGCAATTGCTGTAAATTATTGATTAATTAAATGTTTATTATTTACAGCTGTATAACGACCATATGTTAATGTGACCATAAAGACTATGTTTAGGTCAAACATTCAGCAGTAACTGCTGACTAATCCATAAATATATGTAACATACTGTATGTATGGTAATACAGTGAAGCCCATGAGTGAAAATACTTTTTGAATTTAAAACAATATTTTATTTTTTATTTTATTTTTTTTAGAATTATATGTGAATTTGATTTTGATTTTTTTTAGAATTATATGTGAATTTAAAATTTACATATACGTGTATACACACACTACTGTTCAACAGGTTCACATTTTTATTAATACATTTACGGATGATCAAAAGTAGCATAAATGATAATGTTACAAAAGAGTTTAATTTCAAATAAATGCTGTTCTTTTGAATTTTCTATTCAATTGAATTTCTGTTCAAGTTCATTAAAGAATCCTGAAGAAACTGTATCATGGTTTCCACAAAAAATATTAAGCAGCAAAAACTGATTTCAACATTGATAATAATAAGAAATATTTCTTAAGCACCAAATCAGCATCTTAGAATGATTTCGAAAGGATCATGTGACACTGAAGTATTTGGTCATGAAAATGCAGCTTTCCATCCCAGGAATAAAATACATTTGAAAGTATATCAAAATAGAAAATATTTCTTCTTCTAAAAATATTTCACAATATTACTGTTTTACTGTATTTTTGATCAAATAAATGAAGCCTTGGTGACCATAAGAGACTTCTTTCAAAAACATTAAAAAATCTTAATGAACACAAACTTTTGAACAGTTAAATTGGATCATCCAACAACACTTTAGAATAACTTTTTATAAATATGCATGTATCTCATTTGTAAATGTTTACAAACTCACATTATATATTTGTATTTCAATTTATTGTGTATTTCAACTGAATTATTGAGGAAACAAAAAATGAGCAAAATATCAGATTCAATTAAATTATTATTCTTATTTTAGGACCTATATACAGTAGGGTGTCAATTTAGCTTCCATTAGTCGAGAAGCATTAGCGAGGGAATTACTCGCCAGTTTCCTAATGGAAGTCTTTAGTCTTCACAGTGTTGCTATGACAACTCCTAGTAGCCGGTTAATATGGGATGGAAAATGACAGTGGGAGGAGCGGCAGCAGCGGAGCAGAATAAAAAGACATCACACACTCACCAGGGGACTGAGGCTTGGGAGAGACCACTGCAAACCTCTTCGGGGACGACACAATGGGTCGGGTGATTTCTCCATCCCTTTGAAACTCCTTTCTAGAGGCTGAATGAGAAACGGATATTTATATGTGTCAGAACTAGTTACAGTTCCAACAGTATGTACATATAATACATTTATGGAAAAATACTGAGTACCATTCAAATCAAATAGTTATTCTAATCCAAAAACTCACAGATAAATTCTGCTATCAAAACCAGCTTTATATAAAGATGAAGTAAATGCCTAAAGTGTCCACTAGCTGGAGCCCTTGGCCCACTAATGTTCTCTTTCTTACACTGTGACTGCAGTGTCAAATCTGCATGAACAGCTATAATGATATGATATCATATGATAAAAAGCTGGTCAAGAATATTTTTATAATTTTTTTCTTCGAAATCAACACTGAAGAGCATGTGTTTATACTGAACTTTCTATTCAGCAAAGAATAACGAAAAAATAGTGATAATTATGGAAGCCCGTTTCCGCCACTGAATAAAAAATAAAAGAGGTAATTCAGCAGGGGCGTAGATTACGCGGGGGACGCGGGGGACGTGTCCCCCCCACTTTTAATATCACGTAAATTCATCCCTGCTGCTCTCAACAGGAGGGAGAGGAGAGCGCGAGAGGAGAGTTTCATCACTGCTGCTGTGTGGACCTGTGGAGAGCGAAAAAAGAAGGCTTTGAAGAAAAAAATCCTTTCTCTGCTGTCCTATACTATTATATGATTAAATACAATTTATTACACATTTAAACTTATTATACAACTAAACATTTCTATAGTAGCAGTATTTGTATTGTTTTCTCCCTTATATACTTTTAATTATACTTTGGATAAAACATCTCTTAAATGAAAATTGTAAATATGTATGTACACTATACTGCCAAAAGTATTGGGACAGCCCCATTCTAACATGACAAGGCCTCTGTGTATAAGGCAATAAATGGTTCAAAAAGAAATAATTGATTCAGTCACTGTGGAAGAACTTGACTGGTCTGCATAAAGCCAAGTCCTAATCCCAGCTGAACACCTCTGGATTGACTTTAAATGCAGACCTTGAGGCAAAACCTCATCACCAAACACCAGTGACTTGTACATATGTGTACAGTCATTTTAGACACTTCCAAAATTGTTGCAACAGAGATGGAAATACAATTTTTAAATACATGTATTATGTTTCCATCTTTGTTGCCACAGTTTTGGAAGTGCCTTTTTCTGTTCTAAAGAAGGGG